CACCGGGCCCCTGTGCCGAAACCCCGCCGCCTGACTACCGAAGAGCAATCCAGCTCTTCAAACGTCTCAAAGAGCGGGCACCCCAGCTGGACGTAGTGGAGACACCGACGGCTCGTCTCACCGAGGTCCTCCTGGAGCCGCAGATTTCGGCAACGCAGGTGGAGCTCGGAGACTCTTTCTCCTGGTCCCGCCTCACTTCTTCGTATCTCCCGGGGCACCTACGGGACTTCGAATGGCAGCACGGCTGGGGCGTCCTTCCCAGCGGAGACCGCTTGCTCCGCTGGGGCGTGTCGCGCACGGACGAGTGCCCTAACTGTGGGAATCGCGAAACGAATGTGCACGCGGTGAAGGAGTGCGTTGTGGCGCGGACGTTCTGGCGCGTCATCCGCACCAGCTTCCACGGTTTGGGCGTAGGACTTTATCTGCTGCGCGGGAGATGCCCTCCGGGCGTCTTCGTCCGTCTCCTCCTCGCCGCGGCCGAGTACGTGCTGTGGAGGAACCGGTGCTGCGCGGTGAGACAGGCGCGTCGATCGCGTGCTCTTTGGCCCCTCCTGTGGCGGCTCCGGCGGGAGCTCGTAGGACACCTCGAGGAGCAACTGTTTTTCCTCGGAGAACAGGAGTTCCTCAGGCGCTGGTCCTGCCGGTACCTGAGCGTTCGCGACTCGCGGATTGAACTCCGCTTCAGGTACCTGGACAACCTCTAGGCCCCTGAGTTCAGAGCGGTGCCGTTGGGGGCGCGGGCGCGGGTGTGCGGCTCCGGGGTGACGCTCCGGCCGCGCGAGTGATCGCGCGGACGGGGACACCTCGGGGTGTGCGCCTTCGAACGTGTGCGTGTGGCTCCGCGGCAAAGACCCGCCAACTGTACAGACACTGGTTCGCGCATATATATGTGTACACAGTGTTCTTAACCTCTGCGCGTCTCATACAAAATCCTGTCCACAGTGTTGCAAATAAATTTTCTAATTAGGCCGATTAGCCAATCGCCTTGCGAGGTTTTGGTCGTCTGTATGTTAGTATCCGTTTGTGTCCGGCTAGCAGGTAGGGAAGGCAATGGCGCTACTTTCCCAGGATCCAGTGACTTTAATCCAGATTACCTGTCCAACAGGCGTTTACATGGAAATGTGCACAGCATTTTTTTGTTTTTTTCTAGTTCCTACACTTGAAATGTCGAATTATTTGTGGCCTTGTTCAAGTTTTAGAGGCCCGTTACTCTCAAGTTTTGAGCAGCGTTCCAGGCGAGGAGATGGAATATTTTGGCTCGCGTTTCGAACGTCCGCCATTACGCTTCCTTACTACAGTTTTTTCGAACTCCGCTTCATTATACGTGCCATCATTGCCGAGGCTACAAGGGCGAGCTCCAAGCTTTCAGTGTGTGAGTCAAGCGCGCGCGGTCTTGCAGTGCATGCGAGTATCGTTCAGGGGGACGTGCCTTTGCAAGCTTCGGCTTCGCTATCACGTAAAGTGAAGCCTCTACCTCGTGGAGTGAAACACACGTGCTCGCAGAAGCTATGAAAGAAAGCAATACAAATATCAAAGCTAAAGGAACGTTTAATGGGACGCCGTGGCCTCAAGCTGCATTTTTTTTAACGTTTTGTTATTGCACGTTTAGAGATGCCGAGATATGCTTGTATTTGAACATGGCATGTGCAAAATCGAACGTTACAGCGCCACGTAGATGGTGCAGTGAGCATAACATGGTCGCGTCTTGAGGACGCGCTCGCGCCACCTGCCCCAGAGCAACGAGTGTAATATTTCCAATAGGCTTACGCGGAATGTGAGGCATGCTCAATTTGGTATGCGCTGCAATACCCTACACCGTAACGAAAATATGAAATAACCTCGAAAGAAATGAGATTCCCGGGGCGGCCTCACGTGGACTGCCCACGTAGGCCCATTATGGCCCCCACGAGCGGTGCTGCCCACAGGTCCTCTGTGGACCCCACGAGAAGTGCCCATGTGGGCTGCCCAAGTAAGTCCCTTGTGGGTCCCCCGGTGCGGCTCAGGTGAACTGCCCAAGCCGGCCCCACTTGGGCCCGACTTGCAAAACCGACGTGGGACCCACGTGGGCTGCCCAAGTGGGACCCACGTCGGCCCCCTTTTAGAGCCAACCTTGTGCTAGGTCCCTTGACAGAAGCCTAGGTAGGCTGCCCAAGTAGACCCCCCATGGGTACCACGAGGGCAACCCATGTGGGCTGCCCCAGTTGGGCAGCCCACATGGGTCCGCCTCGTGCAATTATTATATCGAGCGTTTGGAGATCGAATCGGTATCTGTCAAGCGTTCGAACGCCCATTAAAATATCAAACGTGTCAAAGCATCCACGGCTGAGCTGGCAAGCTTGCTCTCGTAGTGGAGTAAACAAAGTAACTTGCCGTAAATAAGACTGTTATCGGGGAAGCTCAGAAGTTGAGGAATTTTGGAAAAGTTCTATATTGACGGCGGTTTTACAGGTGAAAGCAAACGCGCAGCAAAGCATTCAAGCTTGTCGTCTGCTAAACCCAACTCATCGAAACCGCCGCCAGCTCCGCGGTAGCTCTAGCTAATTCCTGTCTCATAAGGCTGCACTACCTTTTTTCGGCCAGCGGAGTCACTCTTATGTTTAGCCACAAAACGTTTATCTATAAAAACTGTGAGGGCTGTCAGTTTTAATGTTTGTGCACAAGCTATTTGACAGGCTTCTCGAAAAGAAGCCAGAAAGGTTCTGTGCCGACAACCGCTTAGAAACAGGGGAAGCGGCACTTTTCCCTCGTATTCCCCTGTCCCTTGCATTATAAAGGTTGAGAGTGACAGCCCTTAGAGTTCTTATAAATAAATGTTTTGTGGTCAAGAGTGGCACCACCGGCAGCCATCGCTTGGTGTCAACTGATTGCTGCCGGTGGTGCCACTCGGCCTGCAGAAAGACAAGCCTCGATCTCGATCCAGCCTACCACAATAGTGAACGGTAGTTACAGGCAGCGACAACTCCGGGAACTGCATGACTGCACGTATCGGTTCAGGCGGAGTCACGCGAGGGCCTGTGGTGCCATCTGAGAGTGCTATTTCGTAGTAGTTCTATAAATCAACTATCATGTTTTGATTCTTCGCTAAAGGGCGGCGCTGTTATCCTATTTCGTTTAAAGCCCCTGTATACGGAAAAGTAGCGACATCCTTTGAAGAATGCCGCCTGCTATCTTGGAGCAATCCAGGCGGCGCTACCGTCGACGCGCGAGCGCGAAAGAGCAAAAGATAGCAATAAAAGTGTGCATGAGGGACGAGAAGGGAGAAGGAATGCCTATTCTGTCGGAGTGCAGTGCATGCTATGAGCTCATGCCGCCAATCAAATAACGCCGACAGTGCAACGTCACGGCTTTCATTGCCTTTCTTTGAGCACATTCTTCGCGGCTGGCAGACCGTGACAGTGCGTTTTTGGCCTATGTCCATGTACTTCCGTGTCTTCAAGCCTTTGACTGCGCTCTGACTCAAGTATAGGAAGGCCGTCTGCTATCTTGGAGCGTTCCAGGCGGCGCTACAGTCGACGCACGGGTGCGAAAAAGCAAAACATAAAGATAAAAGGTGTGCGCGTCAGAGGAGGAGGGGGAAGATGTCGCTACCTTTCTTATTGAGGGGCCTTAATTTCGTTTGGTTTTGGGGGGACACGAGCGGTCCGGGTTTATAAGTTTCCCGACTGAGTGTTTTAGTAACGTCGGGATGCAATATATAGCAGCTACCTCTGAGCATGCGCTGTGATGTATACCTATAGTTGGCTTGCAGCGCCCCACGTTGAATGGTGCGCATTCTTTTTTCTGGGACTGAAACGGCGTATCCAGTCCGGCCGTGACTGCAGACTACGTCGAAATGCAATGCTGCAGAGAAGCACCGCAAAATACAGTGCAGTTTTTTTTTTTTTATTTCGTCTGGCAATTTTTTGTTTTAATAGCCGCCTAGATTTCATGGGATAGTTTGAGATGGGCCAGCTAACTACTGGTAACCAGTTCAAATAATAATAAAAAGTCGGTCGAAGGCTGCGTTCTTTAATATGCGTTTTGAAAAAAATAAATACGATTCAATAACACCAGCATCTGCCTTTATTGTTTGGTCTTATTTGCAGAATATTTAAAAAAATAGAGATGCTTAAATAGAGACAAAATAGTGACTTCACCCTGCGCCGTGCCCCTACCTTTTGTAGTTTGTCTACCGGGTGTCCCCAATAGCGGCCAGGCTCTTTAAATCGACCGCGAAAATCGGTTTCTTAACCTATCGCGTTCCGATATTGTACAGTGTTGGCCACAGGTGGTAAATTTTTTCTATAAAATTTGCAAAGAGTGAGGTTAACTGTGGAAAAAAAGAAAAAAAAAAAGAAGAAAAAGACTTCACTCTTATGAAAACGCAGCGAAGCCACCGGTCTTCAAACCATAAGGCACCCTATGGCTTCAAGACCAGTCAGTGGCTTCACTGCGTTTTCATAAAAGTTAAGCCTTTTCTTCTTTTACTTTTTCCTCAGGTAAGCTCACTCTTTGCGAATTTTATAGAAAAGATGCACCTTCTGGTGGCCAACGCTGTACAATATCGGAACGCGAGAGGTTAAGAAACCGATTTTTGCGGTCGATGTAAAGAGGCTGGCCGCTGTTTGAGACACAAGGTAGTTCCAGGCTTCTATTCTCAATTTAGACAAATCATCCATTCGAAAGTTTATAATTAAATCTGTCAGTCGTAACAAGCTGTTCGAAGTATATACGTACCTAATGAAAAGAAGTCATCATAAAAATCTAGAAATTGCTTGCCAATTTTCGTATTTATGAAAAAAAGTAACAATGACGGGGTAATAATTTTTAACCGCGCACTTAACGGGACAACCAAGAGGTGTACGCACAAACTGAGTTATTATTGTGTAAAACAAATTCGTGGGTTAAATAGAAAAATTTAAATAAAAAAAGGCAACTGCATGTGTAATTTTATTCGCTAATCCGCATCGGTAAAGTTACAATGTTACGCTAGTCATACTAAAAAAGAAATTGTTTTCTAGACAGAGAGTTTGACAAAAAAATACAACGACGAAGCACAAAATGCTGGTATAGCATGCACAGCAGACATAACCGGATGGACCATCCAACCCCCACCCATGACTGCACCTTCCCGAGGGCGAGGTCCACGCTGAATATTGATCGTTCAGATGAACGAAGGAAGGACACGGCTCTGCAATCCCTTCACATTTCTCCCTAAGCATGCAAAGGATATGAGTGTTTTCTTCTCGAAATCTATAAACGAATAAAAATAAAATTACAAACACGAGTTTTTTAGTTGCTCCCAATTACTTCTGAACACTTTTAAAGCATGAATAGCTTCAAATAATTAATTTATTTAGAGTACTAAGGACTAAGGGGCAATCTGAAACTTTGTTGTTGTCTTTGTTTTCTTCCACTGTCGTCAGCGATAACCTCCTATTTTCGACTTCGATGGAGTTTCTAATCCGAAATCTTCATATATGCTTTTTGATATTTATTAAAAATATTAAAAAGTGGAAGCTCGTTATACATCTATATTCCGATTTTATTTGTGTACGCGGGCATATCTGCTATGGTTCATCGTTTGTTGATAAACCGGCTGCCTTCGGGCAAACACCAGCGCATACTTGGATATCGCAGGCATGCCATGTGACCAACATGGCATGCCTGCGATACCATGTGACAACCAAAAAGACGAGTTTTTGCGATCTGGTGGAAAATATTTCTTCCGTTTCCCGAAGACCAAACAAACGTGAGTAACTGATTAAATTACTGCAGCATGCAAATTAAACTGGAAGAGCTATCCAAGTCTGGCTTCTAAATCGCCACTGACGCCTCAATAAACGATTATGGCAACTACACATACAGGGTGTCAAAAAAAAAATGTACACAGTTTTTTTTTTTTTTTTGCAAAAATAAGTTAGGCATTGCCGAACGCCAATACTTCGCCCAAAGGTTGCGCTAGAGGTCACAACCGGATGCCAAAGTTTCAGCCCGATCCGATAACTTAATCAAAAGTTATAAGTGATTTTCTGAAATTTTCAGTGGGAAAATGGCGTCCGACGGAGTGTTCGAATACATGGGGCTCCATGGGCACCAGAAACCGAAAACGGCAAAAATGGGTTCCATTTTCCCATTAAAAGTTTAAGAAAATCACTGTTAACTTTTAATTAAGGTATCTGATCGGGCTGAATCTTTGGTATCTGGTTGTGACCACTAGCGCTACTTTTGGGCGGAGAAGGGGCGTTCGGCGATGCCCAGTTTATTTCTGCGGTGAAAAATACCCTGTAATTTTTTGTGATACCCTGTAGATTGCGGAGAACTTCAAGAACGTCAGACCAGATGCACAACTGAACACCCAGTACTATGTAGCCTGGTGGGCAGCCAGTCTGATCTGTAATCATGCTTGCCAAGTCCAACTGCAATCAGAAACATGGAACACCACGAAATACATTTTGTTAACGAAAAAATAGTCAGATTGCAGGCGAGCTGGTGTAAGTTAAACATTATTGTAAACCTGAGCCTGGGGAAGAAAAGAGAACACAACAGAAGGTAGAAAAAGAGGAGGCAACGTCTCAACATTGAGACGTCGCCTCCTCTTTTCCTACCTTCTGTTGTGTCCTTTTTTCTGCCCCAGTCTCAGGTTTACAATCAGGTACATTTTGTTGTTGAACAAGCAATATTCGCGAGCGAAAATGACGCCATCTGCCGACTTCGCTCATCACCTGGCCGGTAACATCAGCCCTGTCTTCGACACTCAATGCATTGATATATTGCACCAGAGAAGAGTTCAGCTGAAGGCAGACTTGAGGCCGCTGATCGACGCTCGAAACAAAAGCACGGTGTGCAAAGCTTGCCTAAACACGTACCTACAGAAGTACTTAAAAGTACTTTTGAACTGCTTCGTCAAGCCAGCAAAGCATAAACCTGCCAAGGTCTCTGGGAAAAGAAATGCGAAAGCAAAAAAGGTCACGCACTGATTGCACGTGCCAGATTGCAGCGTGCGACTCTTATTTAACGGACAGTGTAAGTTGGACTACGTTATCCCTTTCACTTCTTTTCTTCTTAGGTCCTAGCAACACTGCGAAAGCAAATAAACAAACGTGTAACAAGCAGCTGAAAACAAAAAAGTGAACTCTTTTCTTTTTTGATTAGTTTCGTCGTGTTGCTTCCGCTTTGTTTGTTGTCATCTCAGCACCGACGGCTCTATAACTACCTGCGCAACGATAGTCTTCTTTAAAGGAGTTTCATTGTTGGGTGACTTGTATCTTTGTATCGTGAGCTAACTTTGTTTTATTCGCTGTTATTTGGGGACTGTTCCGGATTTCTTTTTATTTTCGCCTGGGATGAGGAACTTATTTTTCCAGCCAAGTTCGGAAAATGTTTTCACGATCATTTTTCTCGTTGCATTTTGCTTTTGTTATGCTGCAGTGGCTCGTGCGCTTGCACTGGTAATCTTGACATGTTGTTTGCACACGCTTTAATTATCACTTACTCATGTAAACATTGTGACCACGCAATTTGTAACGAATCAACAGTAACCTCTTACGGCGTAGTTCGAGTAGCTAAACGCCGTGTTTCTGCTTCCCAGATACGCTTGAAACCCGTGTGATCCCCTGAGTGGCGTTTGAGACCGCTAAATAAACTGCTCTATTTTTGTTTCTGCGCGTGTTGTTCTTTGAATGTCGTTGTAGTTGCGATCAGTGGATGCCGCTTTTCAAGCAGACTGGCCGCTATTAATTGTTTCATCTCTCGGGGTGATTAAACAAGGCTCGCAAAGCTCGAGGACGTCGCGGAGCCTACACTTTTTGATTCCGTCGTCTGCTTCCGTAGACTGCATGTCCGCTGAGGCGCCACTGTCGCGGTCGCCGCCGCTCCAACGGGTTTTCGGAGGAGTTTAAAATATTGGCGAAGCTATTAGATGGTATTTGCCTCGACTCTTTGCGTGGGAGCCAAACACGACAACCGTTCAGCCACGGACGCGCTGCCTACTTAGCGAGCTGCGCGCGGGGCAATATTACAAAATATACGTTGCTGAGAACACGAGAACACATCAAACATAATATATTTTATATTATTGCATTATTACCCTAGCAAAAATAACGGTTTGAAATCAGTCCGGAAAGTGAAATCCGGACTAAGATCAAACCGGAGTCACACCGGAGAGGTGGCTTCCGGTTCGCACAAACCGTGAATTTTCATATCCGGTTCAAAGTCAAATTGGTGGAATTCCGGAGAGGCGAATTCCGGTTCGCTCATACCGTGATTTTCCTAATCCGGTTCAAAGTCAAAGTGGAGGAATTCCGGACACGCAAATTCCGGTTCGCTCTAACCGTGAATTTCCTAATCCGGTTCAAAGTCAAATTGGAGGAATTCCGGACAGACAGATTCCAGTTCGCGCAAACCGTGATTTTCCCAATCCGCTTCAAAGTCAAATTGAAAGAATTCCAGACAGTCAAATTCCGGTTCACACAAACCGTGATTTTCCTAAATGGTTCGATCAAACCGTGATTTTTGGAGTCCGGTTCAAAGTACAATTGAACGAATTCCAGACACACAATATGCGGTTCGAACAAACCATTTTTTGTCAAATTCGGTTAAAAGGCAAATTGGACAAAGTCTAGACTGAAAATATCCGCTTTGCACAAACCATACTTTGCCATATCTTGTTCCAAAGAAAATCGGATCAGCCGCTTGATGCCGAAGACTTTCATGCGTATGGTTGAAACATCAAGTTGCAAACAATCCATCCCGATACCGTACGTGCGGGCTGCTGCGTCGATCAAAGCTCAGACCGCAGAAGACAGCCAGCTGATATGCGGTGCCAAAAAGGAGACATCACGGCGATTTTTGTGCCAGTCATTGCCATCTGATTCCATCTAGAATTTTTATGCACTCTGCAATACTTATTCATTATTATGCTTAAACAACGTTTTGGTATTTTTTAGTTATTTTTTAAATAATTGCTTGATAACTGTCAAATAATTTTTTTATATAATTTTCTCCACATAAAAACAAACAAAAACAAGAACTAATTCGATGCCACAGCTAGATGTACACACAATCGGGAAGTGTCATTTCAGTATCTTTGACAACTTTTCTGCGGTCTCCTTGTTTATGCCTGCATGCTGAACATTTTATTATGGTGCACATGCAGGCAATTTTAGGGGCTTTTATCAATTTAGGTACGCAAAGCAGGGATTTAAACCGTAACCGAAACCGAAAACCATTTAGGAACGAAAATTTTCAGTAACCGTAACAGAAACAAAATTGTTATTTGAAATTTAAAAAAAACACGTAACCGTAAGCGTAACCGTAAAGTATTTACCGGTAACTGGTTTTAACCAATATTAGCCGAAAAATAAAAAAATAAAAAAAAATTCTCATGTATGACTTGGAGGACGGATCTTGAAATATTGTGGCAATTTGACAGAGTTACTTTCAGCGAGTGGTGCATCTGGTAATACGATTTCCGTTCAATCTAACTTTAGGATTAAGGATACTTGGTTGGAATCATTAGTCGTGCTTATAATAAAAAAAGTCTATTTCTAAATCTATGACGCTCCTACATCGCTACATGTGTCAGTACGTGTCGCCTTCAGTGTAATAACTAATAAGTTAGAATTCTCAGATGTCCATCCAATTCGGTTCTATCAAAACCACAAATGTTCCTGACATGCAGTAGCCAATATGAAGAAACGAAGTAAATTGACTGTCATGCAGAGCTGGCGGAAAAGAAAACATAGTATTCATTTAGTCTGAAACGTCGCTAGTAACGATTTTGAGACAACACAGAAAGAAAAAAACAATGTGACCGGTTTGACATTGGCGTTAAGTGTATGTTTCATATTAACCGTGATCCAGAGTTTATCTGAACAGAAAACAATCACAAAAATTAAAAATTATTTTGTGAAGTGAAAGCTAATATATCCTTTGATGGCCAGTATTTACATGGAAGTTCAGTGACTGGCCGGCATCGGCGCTTTGGTGTTCAAGCTGGCGAGCCCCGTCATGGAAGATCCGTTTACTGACCGGCATCGTTTTTTGTTTTTTTTTCTCGTCCTTTTCACTATGAAGTCAAGTCATTGAGATTCTGACAAACTGTGGCAATTCATGGATAGCGAGTGGAAATGTTTGCGTTAATCAATCCTTC